ATTTTTCATCGTCTTCATAAGGCGTATCCATCAAATCATGTCTATCTTGTCGATGATGTATATCATACATATCATGCATCCCATATATATCTTTCATGTATATCCATCCTGCCTAACAACATGAAGTATCTATCTAAACTAGAATATCCATGAAGCCAAACATGTATTTTCAAATAAAAAAATTACTGAAATTTAAAAATGTAATTACTCACCTCAGTTGTCATACTAAAGCCTTAATATTCGATAGCTAGCTAGAGGTTGTGGTGAGTTGAGCTTAATAAACTATAGAACATAATATTAAACCTTAAGATTAAACCAATGTCCGTCAATCAAATTATTCTTCTTAAATTAGCATTAAATTATTTACTTTGATTTACAAAAACTATCCTATGATGATCTTTTGTACGCTTGCCCGAACTCGTTGTTTCATATAAATAACCTAGCATTTGTAAATAAATTAGGATTTTATAAATTTTCGGCTCATAAAATAATTAAACCGAAAAATAACATTCTTACCTCAACTAGGCTTCTTGGCATAAATCCGCATCTCCAAATATGCAAAAAAAACTTCCATCTTCTTCCTATCTTCTCAATGTTCCCTTCACCTTCACTAATTTTGTTTTCAAACCCCATACGGAAACATGCACTCCACTTCCGACATAGGATCAACACCTCAGACGGCTACTAGAAACTAAAAATGCAAGAAAAAGAGGCAAAACTCAAAATGGAAGCAAGAGGAAGGAAATGAAAGTCTTAAATAGCGAGGAAGAGGAATTCTTACCGTTTAATTTCGTCCCCAAAGTTCCCTACAACAAGTTTCTGCCTCCTTGTGCGTCGATCGACCTGCTGCTCGCGCCTTTGGATTGTAGCAATGGTCGAACAGAGGAAGGGGAATTAGGATTGCGTGAGAGAAGAGAGGTGAAGGGGAGGAGTTCGAAGCTCATGACATCCCTTTTCGACCAAAACGAAGGAATTAAAAAGGGCGTGAGAGGTCGGTTGTCTATAGTATTGAAAGGACTAGTGATACTTTATTAAAAAAATTAAGATTTAATTAAGTTAAGAAAATATATATCTTCTACATTTTATATCTCTCAAACCATTCATAATTAACATATGATGCTTTTATGGAATTGATCGATTTAAGGCAAAGAATTTTATAAAATTGTTTCGATTGAAATTTGAGTGATCCGAAATTTGGGATATATTTTAGGTTATCAAAATTTTTATCCAATTTCTCAATACTGGTTATTATATTTTCTCCCACATGAGAAAATTTAAAGGGTGGTATGAAATAATTGGATACATATACGCTATGAGAAGATAAAGTAACAATAGAAAAAGTGAGATGGCAAAGAGGACTGAGTGGTTTGACATTGTGAATAACATCCACTAAGCAGTGAGCCGAAGTAAATGGTATTCACTATCTAGGAATAAAATGAATCTAGTGCAGTACAAGAATAAATTTCTAAGAATATGGAAATGTCCATATATTGTATTACAAGAGGTTATAGATGGTAAATTTATCATAGATGATGTTAAATAATGTTTGCTCTTCTGAGAGACTTGATTATTGTTATCTACTCCAAAAATGGGAATTGAAAGTTCATTATATGTCAAGGTAAGTATAACCTCAGGACTTGATGCCAAACAATGTTCAAAACTACACCCAAAAAAAGTTCTAAAACAATATGTTTTCAATCAAAATCATCAAGTTCATTATCTAAATGTAATACCTTCAATGAATTCTAAACACCTGTCTTCAAATTCATTTAAGCTTATTATACAAGATTCTCCAAGAGAAATCAAAATGATAAATATTACCCAAGTGACTCCGAGAACCCTAGTGGATCCTTCAGAGAGTTCCAAAGAGCATACATGAGAGGGACTATTGTGGACTTTGAAACGTCTGATAATTAATGGTTTCATGTTGTCTAATTTTTTCCATGTTTAAGTCCGGATTTGTTTTAAAACTCAAGGATTTTAAGGATTACTTCAGGGATCCATGAAAATATTCCCTTGAAGATTCGCATCAAATCGTTGTGATGGAAATCTGGTTCCAGGGAAAAGGCAAAGGAGTTATTTTATAAACATCTTTAGAGCCGTCATAATGTGCAGAGTAAAAGTAGAATGTGGAAGCTTTAGATTCAGACATTATGATACATCATCGTCATCCTCAGAACAATACTTTATCCCATAATCAAATGGAAATGGTTGTAATGGTAACTTAAACTCAACTTAGGCTTCAAGAGAGGAAGCAAACCATGATTTTGAACCATGTGCAAAAACCTACAGATCTAGACAAGAATCTTAGGAGTATTATAGGAGCTCTATGTCAAGTTATAACTTTATCTTAATAGCATTAAAATTAAACCTCAAAATAGTCCAACGACTCTTTGAATAAACCAATTTTGCCATAGAGGACCACATTTTGCAATTTAGTCCATTGAATATGCAAAATTGATAAAATAAAATTATCCCTCATTTATTACTTTATCAAATTATCAATTTAGCAGCATCATTTTCCTACACTTAGATGAATGATTTTTTGCATCTGTTTTCACTTTTTCAGGAATCAATTGCATATATTGTGGACTTGTTTCACTTTCTATCTCCTCATGGAGAATTCACACATATGATCTTACCAGAAAGCTTCTCAAAGCCCTATACTACTTCAGCATATGGATCGGGAGACCATTCACATAATATGAATGAGAATAAAATCTTAACTAACATGTTCCTAATTTTGATAAGCAAATGATGATGATCAAGAAGATAAAAAGAAAAACTATAAATCAAACATTAATAAGACAAAATAAGTATGTATAAGCTCCAAACCAAGGCAGAAAAAAGAAGAAAAAAAAGAAAAACTATCAATCCACCAAAGTGCAAGAAAATCGTTCTGCCAATTTAGTAATTTGAACATAAAGAAAGAATAAGTGGGTATACTGTGAATGGCAGTAGCTGGATTAAAAGTGGAGGAAGGTAAGGCTCAAAAAAATAAAATTTGGCAAACAAATTTTACTAAAAGAACCCTTTTCCTTAATAGCATAGACTCAAAAGGAGAAATAGCTACAGCCTAATTAAGCAGAACAATAGGAGTTAATAGACCAACAACATCTGCCAGAGAGGAGCACATCATAACAGTACCAGCAGCATAAAGAAAAGAATGACAGTCCCTGGAATAAATGAAGAACAAGGCGGATCCTCGAATTTAGTGCAGCAAACATCAATAAAGAAGACAAAGAACAAAGTTAAAGCCCAAGGGCCGCCATTGAAGATGGCAATGGCACAAATAATGGATTGGCATCAAAGATAAAGAGTAGCTAGCCATACAAGTTAGGGTAACATTAGGTTGGAGCTTGGGCGGTCAAAAAAGCTCGTCGTTCGCAAACAGCTCATGTTCAGCTCGAGCAGCTTGTGTTCGATTCATTTATTAAGCAAACAAGTCGAACACAAAAAAATTTTTTTGAGCTCCGTTTATAAATGAGCAGAACAAAAACAAACTTTGTTTGATCGTGTTTGATCATTTTGACTCGAATTAATTTAATAATAAATAATATATCAAAATTAAAATAATGATTTGATTCATATAAATGTAATAAAGAAAATTTATATGTAGATTTGTAAATACATAAAAATTGGGTGGTTTGTATGTAAATACCCCTCAGATTTTTTTTTTTTATAATTTAGGTGTTAGATATGTAAATATATAAGAATTGGGTGGTATGTATGTAAATGCCCCACAAATTAAAAAAAAAAACTTTTAGAGAATAGATATGTAAATACATAAGAATCGGGTGGTATGTAAATGCTGCTCAAATTTTTCCAATAATCTCCACATTTTCATCAGTGATGAGCTGTAACATATTTAAATATTGAAGAATTTGCTGGTATGTTTGTAAATTACTTTGGCCCCGCCCCAATTCTTCTCAACTCTTCTGCAAGTTAGCCCCATTGGGACTTCAAGAAAAAAGAGATTGTCAGTCCATTATAAATGTTTCGTCCCATTTTCAAATTATTCTACATTGATAGTCCCACACCAGGACTTCAATAGCAATGAGATTAACTTTCGATTATTAATGCAAAAAAAAATTTGAATTTGCAGCTTCACCCCAATTATGCGAAGCGATTAAATTTTTATTTCTTTTGAAGACAATTTAAAATAAAAAAATTAATATTTTATATTTATTTTGAGCTTAAGTTCGAATCGAATACGAGCTTGATCCGAACAAATAAGTTTGATTCGAGCCAAACACAGATAGACTTCTAACGAGCTCTTTCGAACACAAGCCAAACTCGAACAAAATAAAAATTAAACAAGCCGAACACGACCAAGCCTCTAGCTCGCTCATGCTCGACTCATTTAGGCCCCTAATTGGAGCGGTTGAAAAGAAGACAGCAAAAGCAATCGAAAGGGCAAATGCGGACAAGAGAGTTGGACCATGAGAGAAAAAAACCTAAGCGACAGCAAGAGATAACGAGGATGTTGAGCCAAGGCTTCTGTCAACAGCAATGTGCAAGCAAAAAAAATAAAAGAGGGGCGCAATAAACTGGAGAAGATCATAGACAACAACAAGAGGACTGAGTCGTGTGTACTTTCTATCAACTTGGCTGACTGAAATTTTGGGGTTAAAAAAAGAAGGATTCATTTGGTAATGTTTTGCTTAACGTCGCTACTTTAAAAGCTCGTCATATTACAATTTTGATTAGTCTGAGGAATGCATGACGAAAATCCCTACATCATCACATGCATAAGTTACTTCCATGTAGCTATTGAGGAGCTTGTTGAATGACAATTTCATCTAATCTGGAACATACAGAATATAAATTCCAACCCCACACATGTACCCCTTCATGGTTCTACAGCCATGCAAAATAAGCAGCACATTCATTTTCATGTGAGCAAAAATGACTTCATTTTGTAAAATATAGAATAATAATACAAATTCAAGCTTATGCATATGTAACCTTTTGCCTGCAGGATATTTATTTTCAAGTACCTGCGGGACCCTTTCCATCAAGATAAATGCAATGTGGATTCCATGCATATACATCAATAAGATGGCCAAACCTGTAATTAACACCAAAACAGAAGAGAAAATGAATTAGTTTGAACAGTTAACAAAACTACGATGAAAAAAAAAAAAGAAGCTCAAGGCATACCTATCACCACCAGTACCCTCACTATTGTCCACTAGATTGGCACCATAGAGCCGACCAGGAATTGCATTTCCTATGGAGAAATGCATAATATCAACTTCATGACCATGACAAGTCGTATGGTTGCAGGATCCAGGTAAGTTTTTGCACCCTCCCATCTTACAAGAGAGAAGTTTTATTAGTATGCAATCAATGAAGTTGTTGGTGCAGATCTAAGATAAGCATAGGAATGGTAATCATCAATTATGCATCTTTTTATACGATGTATCCAGGGCTAGCCAACGCTATCCTATTGTAACCAAATCTTATAAATTTCACGAATTTTATACTGTGTAACTTTGATTATGTTACAATCTTCTCTTTGATGTCAAACCAGCATTTGGAGACCAATATGCACTTACGTTATGATATGAAGCATTCTCCCCCACTTGAAACATTAGAGCAACAGAAGGACATTTCGTATTTGCACTGCATTTGCAAAAGGGCAGAACATCAATCATCAACAGCATACTGGTGAAATGCCCAAAAAAGGGGCACGATGCCTGATAGTGCAATATGAACAAAGAAATTGAATATTTCTTTGGAGAAATTCCTTTCAGTTATCAAGTATTCCCCAAGCTCAATAGTTATAACAACTGGTTATTTGAAAGACAAGATGGAGGTCATCTTAAAGTCTAGGGTCACTAATGTAAAGTATTAAATGCTAAAATAGTCCCCTAACTATTTACATGGAGTCATTTTAGTCCAAAAGTCTATGGAAGTGCATATTAGTCCCTGAATCCTGAAATTAGAGCTGAAACAGTCCTCATCAAGACTATTAGTGCTCCAATTTAAAAACCCTGGGGATTGATTTGGTACTTCTATAGGCTCTAGGACTAAAATGGGCCCATATAAAAAGTGAAAAGATTATTTTGACACTTCACTCCTAATGTAAGGTTACAAACTTAGAATCACATATTGTTGATTTTCAGAATTCAGCGAAATAGTTTTATTGATATGAAAATGAGGTATAATAATGTTACATGAATCCGAAAAATAGGAAAGACAAGAAAAAGGAAATAACATGAAAGGAAAGATATAACACTTATATCTCCACTTAATCAATTCATAATAATTACTTGGAGATAAAAGAAACAACATAAAATAGGAAAGGCTAAAATAGTAAAGGAAATAAATTCAATCCAAGAAAATAAATCTAATCCTCATAACTTTTAATAGGAAAAAATTATTTTCTAATATAACTTTTAATAATAACCCTTAAATTGAAACAAGGTCGACAACCCTCTTCAACTTGGATATGAAAATATAATACAATGGGTGAAGAAAATTCTTTGTGAGGTAGAACTTAAAGTCTTCATCTCGTACTTGGTAATCAACCCCAAGAGTATTTAGGGATATTTTAGTTGACTGCAGTTTTTGCGGTGTCTATAGGTAGGCGAAGGAATCCTAGAAGTAATGTTGCAGAGATGTTTGCAGGGAAGTAGAAAACCTACAGGAAAAGCTGACTTCTAGTTGACTGCAATTGTCTTTGACTGCAGTTTTTGCATTGTCTGTAGGTAAGCGGAAAGCTTCTACAGGTAGTGTTGCAATGAAGTTTGCAGGGAAGTAGACAATCTACAGTAAAGTTGCAGGGTATGGCCTGCAGGTAAAAAAAGAACGCCTACAAAAAAAACTGCACGATATGACCTATAAGTAGAAAGAAAGAATATCTGCAAGGAAAATTACAGTGTATGTCTTGCAGGAAAAAAAGAAGAGCGATGGAGACCTGCTAGAAAAGGGCTCCGGAGGGGGCCTACTGTAGGAAAAAAGCTCCGAAGAAAAATAAGCTGCAGAAAAATGCTCCGTAGGAGGGCCACCTACAGGAAAAAACTCTGAAGGAGTGTCAACTATGGGAAAAAGTGTCGGAGGAGGGTCTACTTCAGGAAAGCTCCGGAGGAGGGTCTGCTACAGAAAAAAGCTTCGGAGAGCGTCCTGCAAGAAAAAAGCTCCTCCGGACAAGGGTTTGCTACGGGGAAGAGCTCCGAAGGAGGGCCTGCTACAAGGAAGAGCTCAAGAAAGGGTCTGCTGCAGGGAAGAGCTCAAGAGGAGGGTCTGTTATAGGGAAGAGCTTCAAAGAAGGGCCTGTTGTAGAGAAAGAGCTCCGGAGGAGGGCCTGCTACGGAGAAAGAGCTTCGAAGGAGGGCCTTTTGCAGCGAAAGAGCTATGGAGGAGGGCCTACTGCACGAAAGAGCTTTGGAGGAGGGACTGCTACAAGGAAGAGCTCCAAAAAATGGCCTGTTGGAAGAAAAAAGCTTTTGAGCCTCGTTAATCATAGTAGCAGTTATAGCGTTAGAAGTGACCACAACTTCAATCAGGCCCCCTACAACTTCGTCAGGGTACCACACTACCACCACAGGCAAACACAATGGTGAACATTGTAATCGTTGATGCTACCAAGCCTCCCTTTGCCACTCCTATTAGACGCCCCAAATCCCCTGCTGCCCATAACAGCAGTACTGAGCCCAAGCCTCTCTACCTCGAGGCAGAACCTCTCCTTCATGTCATTATCCATTACATTGTAGACCTTGATAGGGATACGAGACTCTACAAGCGACTAGGCGAGATGTTATGCTTTGGCGATACTGAAGGCATCAAAATCTTCCTCAAGTTTCTGTTGTGACTGCTCGGAGTCAACCTCTTCAATGGCAACTGCGACCTCCGAAACGGAGAGGTTTATCAATCCCCAGTTAGAGAACAGAAGTGGAGCGACCACAAAGAACGACGACGACATCACCAGGTTGAAGGTAGTTCTGGATAGCCCAATTCACAGCGTAGGCGCATTTTTCGATTAAATCTACAGCGATCGCAATCCGATAATTGGAGCTATCAGACATTTTTCGATTAAATCTACAGCGATCGCAATCCGACAATTGGAGCTATCAGAGGGGGGGTTCACTGCTGCAACGGATGAGAAGAACCACAGTGATGATGGTTGAATCATTTGTGTTGTGACGGCTAAAGCAAAGGCTGCAAGGAAATGGCAAAAATTACACAAACCTACTAGAAACTAGCAGGAAAGCCTATAGTAGCTTATAGGAAGGTTCCGTGGCAAAAGCCAGTAGGAAAACCGCAGCGGAAATTTCTAGCCAGCGAAGGGAGAGCCATCAATGAATCGAGCAGTTGAACCTTGTAGGGATAGAGTGGGAAGAAGCGGCCTGCAACAGGAAGAAATAGCAGTTGGTGGCCTACAGGAGGTTCCAGCAGCTAACTCTCACAGGAAGGAATTATGACGGCTAGAGACAGGGAAAGGAAGTTTCCAACATCCAAGGTCAGCATGAGGGAATTCAGGCAACGGGAAAAGGTGCAGGAGGAAATTTCGACTGCGGTGCCTACATGAAGATGAAGTCTCCGGCAGAAAAAAATGAAAAGACGAGGCAGATGAAGAGCCTGCAACATGGTGAAGATTGTCGGCTGCAAGGAATTGAAAGATTTCAACAACAGAAGACTCTAGGGTTTATTGCAAAGCTCTGATAACATGTTAATTTTCAAAATTCAGCGGAAAAATTTTATTGATATGAAAAGAGGATATAAATACCCTTACGTGAATCCTAGAATAGAAAAGACAAGAAAAATGAAATAATATGAAAAGAAAGATATAACACATATATCTCCAATTAATCAATTTATAATAATTACTTTGAGATAAAGGAAACAACATAAAATAGAAAAACTAAAATAGGAAATGAAATAAATCTAAAATAGGAAAAGAAATAAATCCAATTCAACGAAAAAAATTTAATCCTCATAACTTTTAATATGAATAAATTATTTTTTAATATAACTTCTAACACATACTAAAAGGAAACACATAAGTCGTGATAAAGTGTCGCTAAATGTTGAATTTAAGCAAAGATTTATCTTTATTGATGCAAAAACATAAAACATGTTATTCATTCCAAACATGAAATTTCATACAACAACAACATAAAAAATGTTATTCATTCCTTCAAAAATTTCATAAGGAATGTAAAAATATATAAAAAATTTTACAGCAATTAGAATTCACAGCATATAAATGAAAATTAGCTTTAACAAATTTGATAAAATTGTAATTACTAAAACAAATCGATCACAAAATAATTTAAAAGAAAAACAAGGAAGTTATCAATTAAATAATTCTGGCCACACACAAATACAAGAATAAACATCACTAGGAAGTCGTCAAAAATTGAAAAGCACTTCAACAATTAGCATCCAATAAAGTATATTAATAAGTAGACATAATATTTATTTAACCAGTGACATTCAATAATTTTCATACGCCTCAAGGAAACTACTTATAATCCAAAAAAGATAAAATTAGTAACTTCTCTAAATCTTCCAAAATTTGGGCTGAAACTGTAAGTTTCAATTAAAAAAACAAAAATTCCAGTAAGAACAAGTTTTAAAACAATAGTTTCAACAAAACAATGAGTTTCCAACAATATTAAATTTTCTGCTACAATAAATAGAACAAACAAACAAAGCTATAGTGACAAAATCACCACTTACCATCGCCTGCAATAGTACCAAAAATCTAGCAATCAACAGAGCAGTTCCAGTGATAATAATAACTTATGAAGTCAAAGGAGACAACAATGAACATCCAATCCAGTGTATGGACAAGGAAGAGAACTAGTTACATACTGACAAAGGAACCAAATATAGGTGTCAAAAAGAGTCCAAGTGCATAATTAAAAAAATTCACCTGGTGAGGGAATCAAAACACTAGAGAAAGCAGTACATTCTCATAGGAACCATCTTCAAAGGCGTTCCATAGTAAAATTCGTAAAAAAGATAACACTAAGACACGAAAACTATCAAAAAAATTTAATGTATACGATTTATAGGGCTGCAAACAAAACGAGCAAATCTCAACAGCTGCTTGTTTGGGCTTTAGTTCATCTATTAAAAGCCTCTTTGATCTCGGCTCAACCTCAATTTAAGTTTTTAGGATTGTACCCGAGCTTAAGTTCGTCCATTAGAACCATGTTCTCACTCGGCTCAACCTTGATTTGAGCTCGTTTTTTATAGAGATTACCAAGCTTATTAACAAGAAACTTATTTAACTAAATGAATGAGTCATATTTGAGCCTTAATCAAGTTTTATACAAGCAGCTTACGAAAAAGGATAAACAGGCCATATTAAATAAAGCTTGTTGGGCCAAAAAAATAAAAATTTAAAGTTCACTATAGATAAACGAGGTTTAATCGAAATGTAATCGAGCTTGATAAAAGACAATACTGCTCATGAATATAAATAAAACAAATCATATGATGTTCAAGCTTATTCATTTTGTAACCTAGTATTTATGAAAATGTTCAAGCTCATTGAATTAACTAATCAAATTATCTTAAGTGTGTTTTGATCGATTTGAGCCACAAGTAGCTGGTTTAATGCCTGGTTCATTTGAAGCCCTAACAATTCACATTATCTAATAATCACAATATTTAAAAATTATATCTTTTTATTCCACTTGAAAAAAATTGGCTCTAATCTTAGATGCTCGTGTCCGTTAGTTCAATTTTATATATGGATCTAGGAATCTTGAAATCAATAATATTTCGGGCCGATTTATAAATTTCGAATGGAATCTAGTGGAACTAAATATGGATATGATCCTACATCTTAGCATGTGGTGCAAAGTAAAGCTCAAAAACATAGGAAACCACGTTGGCTGGCATGCAAACTAAGTTGCACATAATCCATACTCACTAGAATGTACAAGAAGTGTAGTGTTACACTGATTGACATTTAAATTATGATTCTTCAAGCAAGGAACTATTTCTTAATGGTCACGATACTTTATTGTATGATTTCTCTAGATTTTTGAAAGTCCTAAGAAAGCCTCAGAAGTCATATCAACCAACCGTAACCTCGAATGGGAAATCCTGATTTAGAACAACAAATGCATATGTTACTTTGCTTTATATTGAGCAAACAGCATGCTTTGTTGCATAAATAGATCTTTGGAGGCATTTGATACAGGGGTATATGGTTAAATAACAATCTTTAATAAACTTCACTGTGTACCGATTTCTCTTTTCTAAACTCTAAAATCTCATCTCCGGATAAATTTATATGATTATTGCTTTGTTTCCCATAAAGAATAAATCATAGAAAGCAGATGTTTTTCTATTCATTTTTTTCTAAACTGCACAGCTGAGATGCTTGTTATCGATGCCTAAATAATGCAGATGTTGAGGGGATTTTTTCAAAATAGCACCCTATAATCTTGTTTTCTAGACTATAGGCACAGTACAGCATCAGTAATAATATTAAAGAATGATAAATAACTGAAATTAAAAAATATGTAGCATACAAAATTTTGGAGAAATGTTGAGGAATCTGAGACAATTATTTAACAAAAAGGGAATGTGCCTGTATTTGACACCCGGTGGTACTTTTTACAAAGTCCCGAAAAAACCAATAAATCATAGGCAAACAAAATACATTTTTCATTATAATGTAAAAATATAAGACGTTGGTACAGCATAGGCTTGTTTAAAGCAAGAGTGACTTTGGTGAAAAGTAACATACCCTTGAGAGTAAGCATACTCCCCATCAACTTGCAGCAAGAAGAAAACACGATTTCCATCATGCACAGCCTATAGAAATAACCAAAAATATGGTAATAAACAGCATTATGACAAATGTCCTTTCACGAAAGATTAATCCAAACTCCTGATGCAATTGAATATGAAGTTACAGAAAAAAAAATTAATATGGAGTTGAAAATGCACAGCCATAAACTGATAAAGAATGGCTTCAAACATATTCTTCAAAATATCTTGCCAATTAGATGCTCAAAAATTAATCTGGATGGTGTTTCAGTGCTCCAGTTACCGAACTAAAAACCAAATTCGGTGCTTGGTTCACAAAGCAACAAGAACTAGACATGCAACTGTCATATCAAAACAGAAAAGCAGCTTTTGCCATGGTGATTAGTTAAAAGCTAAAACTTTCATGGAAAAATTAAAAACTTCCGTAACTCCATTCACATTCACATTTACATGAAAACAGACCTGTTCGATCAAGTTTCTTAAACTAAATCCAGATGAAAAATTACACGAACAAGTATAAAATGGGTGTACTACTTGCACTTAATCAGGGTGATGTTAGCTGAAGGCTAAGCCTAAAAAATGTGAGACCACTACCTATAAGAGAATAAAAGTCGACAAGTAAATGGGGAGTCTGCACTTAGTTAAGTCATCCCTTTTATCATTAACTTCATTTTCTCTCAAATCCAAATGAATAACCAATGCTTCTATGTGGCAAAAAGGGTCTTGGAAAAAAAATTTATTAACATCATGATGAGCTGGCTTTCAGAAATCAACTTTACTCCTCATGATATAAGAAAACTCTAGCCTAAGAATCCAATTACCAGCGCCCCCCCCAACCCCGCCCCCCCCCCCAAATGATTAACACATGAATTCATTCTATTTCGTGGATGTAGAAGGTTGCCCCATAAAGAACAAAATTCTGAAGAAAGTGAGGTCCATCCAAGAAAGATATGAGAAGAATGTTTATTAATTGTGTATTTATGTACAAAAAGACCAAAACTCGCTTTCGTTCAAATAGCTAAGAAATAAAGAAAAGAAGTTCTAGCTAGTTCACATATTTTTTCGTTTGGCGGGCTCTTAAAGTGCATCTCATAATTAGAGAAGTCAAATTTATGTCTTATCTTTGAATCATTGATACCGCTTCCAGGTGCACCCACATTGTGGGGCTCACGCAAGTATACGTGTCGTATAAGTAATATTAGATTTTTTTAGTCCGGAATGTCGATCCTACAGGGAACTGAGAATTAGAATTAGGAAAAATTCTAGCCCATTAGCTTCGTTCCTAACCTGGAAAATAGATTGGGTTAAGTCCTACAAAACTAATCCAATAGTATCTAAAGCAGTTGTAAAGTATAAATCCTATAGAAATCCTACTTAATTAGGTGTTGAATCGATGAATATCAGGTTATAAAGCTACCCTCCCTTGTAATGATGTAAGAGTAGTGCAGAAAATATATAGTACAAATTGTAAATATGGCTAGTGACAAATAGGAACAACTCTCTAATTTACCCTCACTTGAGTGCATAAAGAAGATTGGTTAAAACGACATTAACCTATACTCCACAATTCAACGTGACTAACCCAATTGATTCTACCATAGCTCTCCCGAGTTATTATGGTTCATAACACATTATAACATTTCACTTGGTCAGAATGAAAAGTAAAGAAAAATCTTAAGGTTAATCATCACATTCAGCAACTAAAAGCACTTTCACGGCAATTAACTTTCCTACACATCCTACTTAATCATCACAAGGTAAGGCAAAGAGTACTATTCAGAAATCATGAAGAACATACCACAAAGCTTCAATGAAACAAGAGAATTCCACTAAATGATGTGTTTAGGAATATAGAACAAATGAAATACACAATCACTTTTTTCCTCTCCTTTACAACTGAAGATGCTCCACAAAATGCTTCCCTAGCTGTTGCTCCTGAAGGCATTCCCTATCCTCAACTCAAGAAGAAGAAACAAAACTCTACTGCACATACACAGCCTTCTCCTTACTTTACCACTCAAATCTCCCCAAAATACTCACTCTAAACCTAACTTTCATCAATCAATCAACAACCTTCATAAGTCCATGATACATGCACATTTATAAGCTTTCTTCTCAGCACAAAATCCACTTCACGACCTCCAAACAACTCCCCACGTCAGATGGTAGAACTACTCAAAACTTCCTCGGGCAATTGCTTACGCCTAAGCGTCAATCTCTCAGTTTGCTAAGGAAGGCATGGGCGAATTGGCACCCAAGGGTGTGGCGCCTAGGCGCCAGTATCACAGCATGTTGGCGATAGGCGCCAACCTCTCGGGTTGTCAAGGCTGAGACTGGAGCCCAGGGGTCTGGTGTCTAGGCGCCAATCTCCTTATGCTCCTTTTGCTCCAAGTCTCCTCCATGTTGCTCAATTTCCAACACATTTTTTACCTGCAAGATAAACATGAAAATACATTTCTTTAAAGTGTAATTTCATCTATAAAAATATGTAAAATATAAAAGAATTTAAGTATTCTTTTTCTACACATCAAAATCACCCAAACTTAAAGATTATTTATTTTCAAGTAACATTATAATTTAAATACCAATTAGTTAATTTGACGGAGAGAGTTTCATAAAAACTATCAACAATTATGCATCAAAAAATTCATAGTGATGAAAATATAACAACTTCAGTAAACTAGTATAGTCCTAGGGTGAAAGAAACTTTGCATCCTACCAATAAAATTTGATTTCCTACTTCCATAAATAAATTAACAAATGTTAAATAAGTTACATTAGATGGTAAATAGATAGAATGTAAGCACTCCCTTTAAGAAGTTTACTAATACTTCCTAAACATCAATAAAAAGAGGAATGTAATGGAGTTCAAAATTTTAAAAAAATCTAGTGAAACCAATTTTTGATAAGGTTTCTCCTCAAGCTTCTCTCATTTTATATTTTCTTTTATACTCTTTTTTTTGTTTTAGGATGAATATTTCTATCCTTAATGAGCTCTACTTTCATCTCTCTAAACTAAACACTCCACATTTCTCTTCTTTTTAATTTTTCAAAAATTTAATAAGGATTAGATGAAAATATATTTTTAAGGATGCTCAATTCTTGTGAAGTATTTATGTAAGTGTACCTAATTTAACAAATATGTAACACTTTTTAAAAGTGAAAATTTAAATCATTTTTCTACATGTTGAATTGCAAAATTAGTTCAACACTAGTTTAGCTTAATTTACATAGTGTATAAAATGAGTAAATTATGTTTTTCCTTTATCAATATTGTGAAAGTTTCAAATTTACCCCACATTCCTCAAGTTGATTAAATATAGCTATTCAATCGCAGTTTACTGAAATAAATTTTAAGTTTTAAAGTCTTTTTTCCCCCCCCCCCCCCAAAAAATAATTCTAAACATATTCAACAGTTTAAAGCATAAATGTAAATGGAGAGGCAATAGTATAGAAATATTTCCTATCATATGTGTCTATCACCAAGATCAACAAGTATAAATATGAATAAATATACATGAAATAGCAAGTAAATCTAAACTACAAGATATCAATTGAAATTCCACCAGAAAAAATTAATATTATAACAGGTAAATAAAAACAAATTCCACAATAAAAAAATAGACTCGTCAAATAATAATACATTAGCAACAGCAACAAATAAAAATAACATCCATTACATCCACATAAAATAAAATAAAAACTAATCATCATTCTCATCATCATCATCATCTTCTTCCTCATCATCACCTTCATCATCCTCTTCTTCCTCCTCAGAGTCCTCCATCAGCAGGCCATGCTCGTAGGGCTGATAAGGAGAATACACAAGGAACTCGAAAGGATTGTCCCCTCCAATCCAATAATTCCTCTTATACATTGCCAACTGAGCAGCCTAAAAACTAGCAACTTGATCATATTAGTTTTTATTCTATCAATCCATATGAGACATGTCGTCTGCCAAATCACAAACTATCGATGTCGATTGAATCATAGTAACATCATCATCAATCACACCCAATCTTTCTCACATAGAAGCCAGACTAGTGGAAGGATGAGGCTGGGAATAAGAAAAAGGGGTTGAGATGAAGAGGGCTGAGAAGAACTAGCCCAAGTACAAAAAATAGCATGTTTATCATATAGATTCAAGTTGGTCTTGAAGATAGGCTTCAAAGGCTGAAGCTTCTCCTCCCAACTCCCAAAAGAAACACCTAAATTTTGGCGTAACAAGAAGATGGTAGATGAGCGCCGCAAACCAATAGTAAAACCCCCCTTGTGGTATTAACTATAGAATGGTGGATGAGGGACCCTATATCTATAGATTTCCTGGTTTGGATATTGTAATTCAAAAATGCTCTATCGCTGGTGACCTCACTTAAATTGGTAGAGAGAAGTAACTTGACAGAAATGAAGTAGTGTCAAGCCTTCGAGGCTGATCGAGCTTGGACAAAGGAAAATTGATTTTATGATCATTTCTAACTTTCCAAGTCGCCCTACCATTAATCAAGATTCTAATGATCTCATTTAAATCAATATTTATAGAAGTGGAATGAGAGTGGAAACTATTAGGGGACATCTCTCAAGGAAAATAAAGCATTAATACAGGAAGGAGAAATGTCCACTTATTTCTCTTTCACACAGACAAAATCATCAGAAGCCTCAAGAAGATTAGCATAAAACCCCCTAAAAACTGAAATCACAACTGCATCAGTATTGTAACAAAAATTTTCCTAATCTCTACTCACAATCATACTTTCAACAGCACCCCAAGAGCTGATAAATCCTCGCTCAGCAATCAACTTCTTCGATGTCAAGAAGTCGTTGCAACGCTCCTCCGCATTGGAGCTTACAAATTTCTTCTTATCAAACAAACATTATGACTTGTTGCCCTTAGTTTTAAATGTCATTGGAAAGTTATTAGATGAAAATCACAAAGAATAAGGATTGAAAGTAATGTAGATCCAACAAGATGCAAATCAAGAGATTAATTAAAAATTTCCCCAAAAATCTCGAATCCAAACTTTCTACAGTCAAAAATCCCTGATGAAAATTGAAGGAAAAAAGTTTAGGGAGTGAAATCTACCTTTTTAAACGTGATTTTCACTCACAAAAACTTCTTGAATTAAGAGAAATTAGAAGAAAAAGGGATGCCAAAGGTTTCACCTCTCAGCCGCCGAAGAAGAGCTGGGGGAGGAGATCTGTGAAAATGAAGTGAATCGGCCCGATTTAGGGCTTAATAGTCAAATATTGGGTAGCGACGCCTAAGCACCTAGACCTAAATTGGTATGTTCACTTGTTTTGCAATATTCGTCCCCCCCCTAAGTCCCCCAAGTCCTTAATCACACATAATACTCTATAACTAAAGATAAATAAGGTCACTCATCCCTTTTCTCATCACATCTCTCTCTTGTATTTCCTAATCTTCAACGAAATTCTACTCTATTGATTGTCGGGTTTATTCACACATTTTTGTAAGGAAAATATTCTAGACTAGATAGCACATTAACTATTTAAATTAACTTAAATGTTGTCAACCTCTAAGTACTATTTTGTCCAATAAAGTATACAGCTCGGCCCATTCAATGAAGGAATCATCCTCTAGCCTTTCTAATCTCTGGACACAAAGAGCATCCTTAATGGAAGAACATGATCGAAAATAGAAAGTATCAAATTAAGATGGGCCTGTACCATGTCAAATCTTAATATCGCTCTTGTATATCCTTACGTTCATCCAGAGCTAAGGCTAGGAAGGCACTTGCCAAATACAAAGAGCGTTCGCTAGATCCAAATGCACTTACCAAAGGAATCAAAAGAACCTGCCTATTCATGAGCGATAAATTTTTCAGTCAGTAAGACCACTAAAATACTTTTCAAAATAACAAGTCACAAGTAGCTGAGCACTATGTACATGTTTCTATAATGGATATGTAATATATTTATTATTTAGATCATAGTATAGCCTCCTCAATAGCACCTAAAATTATTATAAATACAAGATCAAAGATAACATAGACACCTCCAACACTATATTTTCCAATAAGAGTTTCTCTCTTTCTCCTTCAATCTTTCTCTATTATCTTCTTTTATTTTTGCCCAAGGTTCTATTAGAACCTCATGGGTTCTATAGGATTTTAAGTATTACGACAACAATATTTGATCTAGCAACAATGTTCATGTAAATGTTGCATCCATTCTTTTGATTTCTATTCTAATAATATATAATAATTTCACATGAAAATCCTTCAAAGGTAATACACTAACATTTGCTAAAGTCTGGACTAAGCGAAAAAATTTTTGGAGTATTATCTTAAAAGAATTTCATTAGGATTACCTATCATTTCTACAAAGTGCAAAATGATTCCATAAAAACTGCAATGGCCACCAACCATGAAGGTTATACTCAGGGGTTGTTTGGTTGCAACATTGAAGCAAAACTTAGTAATTTGGCTAAATTTTGTCAAAAATATTTTAATCGTTTAAAATCATTATCTTCTTACATCAAGTTGGCCTCTGAAGTTAAACTAAATTTCAAATTTGTCAAATTCAGGGAAGGTTAAAATTTTTGAAATATACATAAACTCTCCTCATTATGCTTCTTACTCTTTTACATGCAAGTCTTGATTCTTTAGGGATTATCTTAGCCCCGGATTTAACCCGAATGGAGGCTAACTCTTGTCAGACGATCATTTTGGACAAAATAAAGCCATGGATTTGATAAATCTAAATTTCACAAATTTCAGCCATAAATTTGTGATTTACTAAATCCCATGAATCGACGAATTTAACTTCGCTGGTTGGGGATTTATGGCACGGGAAGGTAACAGCTAAAGCGATAACATGGATAAGGTTATCTCTTCCTCGCTCCCTCCCTCCCTCCCAATGGTCTTCTTGTCGGACTGTCATCTCCGGGCTCTTAGGTTATATCTTTGGTGTGATTGATCACCTTTCTCTCGGGGTAACATTCTCGTCTTCTCTGTTCGAGCAATTTTTTACTTTCCGAGTTTCGAACCGGGTAACTTTTTCTCCTTCTCTACCTTTTTTTTTTTTTTTTGCTTGAATGAAGTTTGATTCCTCATCATATGGTGAATACCAACAATGTGGGTTTTCTCCGTCATACCTTTCTTTCTGTTTATGTGCCTTGGATTCAAGTTTTATTGCCTGCTGTTGTTTGAAATCATAGTTTTCTATTGTTGTTTTTTTATTGTGGCTGGTTTTTTGAGAAGCAAAACTTGCCAAGATTTCTAACAGCTTCTTAAATCTTGGAAGAACTTGTCAAACAATTTTACTAGATTTACGGGATTAAATAAATCCATTGTCAAACAGTTTTCCGGATTTAACCCATTCCAGATTTAGTAAATCTGTATTTACAGGATTTGCTAAATCTTAATAACTTAAATCTCATCTGTTGCCATAGAGCACCTTAAAATATTTGTCAACCAAGATTTTAACACCAAGAGGAATTACTATATTTGGATTTTCCATATTTACTAAATACTGCTTGGATATTACGAATGAAATTCGAACCTTAATGCTAATCTTCCCGCCGGCATAGGCCTTGTCGGCGTCAGGATCGAGGGCGGGATAGAGGCTGAACTCGAAACCTTCGACTCCGGCCCAATCGTCGGCGTGACCGTCAACAGTAATGATCCCAGGACGGTAATCCGCAACAATACGAACGTCGGGGCTAGCCTCGCAGTTTCCAGTCTCCTCGCCGCCGTGATCCTCGTGCGGTGAGGCAAGGGGAATTGTGACCAAGAGGACAATTGTCGAGAGAAGGAAGAGGCGTATCATGGTGGCAGCAACAAAAGGGTACAACGAGGCGAAAAGCAGAGAGGCGGAGGAGCTGGTGGCCGAAGATAGGTTATTTATAGGAAAGGAAGCTGGAGCAAACGGCCAGCCGGAAGTGACCGGTGATGAGGCGAGAACTTTGACTTGATTTAGCTGAAAGACGGTTTTAACCCTCCTATCATTCTTTGTACGGGTAGAACGAACAGGATAATATAGGATTAATGGGGTTTTGGCAGCTTCAAGCAAAAAAATTTACTTATGGTCGGTTTGAATTAATTAATTGCATCATTAGAGTTTATTTTTATTAGTGATTTTTTCCCACCTTTTTACTTAAATCTATTAAAAAGAAAATTACTTTCTTATTAGTAATTCTTTTTCATAATTTTTTAATCCAAATCTGTCCTTATAGTTCCCAGGTGATCCCCAGGCTCGGCGGCTCCTTTTGTTCCACACAAACGAAATTATAATGTGAAGGTGAAGGGGAGCAAGCTCCCTAAATGATAGGGGTAGAGAGCCTAAAAAAACACCTTTTACATGCTAAGAATCCTTTATTTATAAATAAAAGAGAGGGATGATAGGAAATTAAATATATGTTCCTATTTAAAGGAGAGTATTGAGAGGTAATTTAGTCCAAATCCGTCTCTGCTAGTGTTTGGTGATCGACCCAAGTTGTCCTTCCACTGGGAGGTGGTCGATCGGATAGCCGGCCGACAAGAGGTAGTCGCCCTTATTGGGCTAGCCGGAGGGAGCTAGCAGACAGAGTGGTCAGTCGAGTAGAGGTGGCTTTCGTGGGTGTTGGTGATAGTTTCGGAAACAACATCGTCGGTGATGGAAACTTTGTTAGTTCATCGAGGAGGCATACTTTTAGATTATACATAAAACCCCGAAGTTTTTCACTTCTTAGACGTAAATTTGCAAAATAAGAATGGAAAACTCAAAAAGTTCATAAAACCTCAATCCATAGACTTTTAGTTTAGACATAATTTTTTGAATGACCTATTAGTAATTTTTTGGTAATTCAATCTTTGGAAAATATAATCAATCAAGCCTTTTTTTATAGATAGAAAATATTCTCAACTCAAGTTCACTCATTGCCCATCTTTCTTACCTTTGTTGGAACAACGCCTCTGACGGCCTCACCTTACGCCAGGTCTTAGGTGGTACTGCAGCTTTCTTCACCAGAGTAACCACTGAGACTTGCTAGTGGGATGATTTGTGTCATACCCATTACGAATATTGTTGCTTTTGGGCAGGGAACTACCTTCATTTTTTTAGTTAATCTTTTAGATAGTTTTTGGATGTTTCTTAAAGTCGGGTGTGGGGGAAGATTTTGGATTGCTCATCCCAGATAGGAAGCTTCAACGAGAGAAATACTTTGGAGTGCTTGTCCCAGAGGAGAGGCTTAGAGAGAGTCTGCTTGCTCACACTGGAGGGGAGGCTTGTAGAGAAATAGTATTTTTTTTTTCATTTGGAATGCTATTCCGAGGGAAAGGATTGAATGAGAAGGGAGAGTTGTTTTTTTAATCTCTTCTATTTGGCATTACTTTGTCTCCATTTTTATTTTCTTTCATTTATTTTTCTCTTCCTTCCTTAAAGAATGATAAGTAAATAAGGTAAGGAGTGGAGGTGCTTATCTCTTTTTGTTTTCATGTACAGGCTTTTCTTTCCCTTGGAATGTGAGAGGGAATCTTTTTTTTTTCTTCCTTCTGTCTTTTCGTTCTACTTTACGTCTTTTCAACTTTTTGCTTTTAAATTTTTTTTTCTTTTGACTTGTCTCATATACTTTATTTCTTGTCATTAAATGTGTTCATCTTCTTCTTCTTCTTTTCCTGATTTGTAATTTTTATTTCTTATTTCCTTATCTTAGTCCTTCTCCAACCTGGGTGGCTTTTCATCTTGTTGGCAGCATGTTCAATGCTCACCACACATTTTAAGTGTTGAATCAAAATATGTCCTTTGGACCGTGCCCAAGTAATAGAATCGGATTCTGAGGGATGGAGAAAGAAATGGAGAGAAAGAGAGAGTATGTTGTCCCATCGAGGGGCAAATAGGGGTGTTCCTGGGGCTCGGCGACCGCTTTTATTACACACAAATGAGGTTAAAATGTGAGGGTGGAGGGGAGCAAGCTCCCTAGAAGAGGGGGGAGAAAGTGCCTAAAGGGAACCCTTTACATGTCAAGGGGTCCTCTACTTATAGAGAAAAAAGTTACGTAAAACCAAAGGAATAGTAATTATAAGTCTACTTATCCTCTAGGTTTTAACAGTAATCCACAATTTAAGGAGAAAAAGTTGTCTATAAAAGAAGTGGTGTTACAAATGGGAAATCAATTACAAAGTCAAGGAGCTACAATTAGAAATATTGAGAATCAATTGGGACAAATAGCAAATTCATTAAGTATTAGATCCCAAGGAACACTTCCTAGTAATACAGAAATAAATTTGAAATACTAGAATAAAGAGCAAGTAAAAGCAGTTCAACTCAGAAGTGGAAGAAAATTGGAAGGTAGAGTTTAAAAAGCGACTGAAGTAGAGAGAGGAGATTAAAGAACCAAAAGAGGATGCTCTGAAAGGTTTAGAGAGACTTATTTCTCCACTTAAAGTTGATTTGGAAAAACCACCACCTCCATTTCCTCAGAGGCTTCGACAACAAAGGTTGGATAAGCAATTTTCAAAATTTATGGAATTTTTTAAGAAGCTTACAATTAATATTCCATTTGTTGAAGCTCTAGAATAAATACCAAGCTATGTGAAGTTTATGAAGAATATTCTTAATAGGAAAAAGAAGTTTCAAGATAATGAGATAGTTGCACTTAATGAGGAGTGCAGTGCTATAATTCAGAAAAAGCTTCCTGGAAAGCTTAAAGAACTTGGTAGCTTTACAATTTCATGTGTAATAGGAGATAGATTTTATGGGAAAGCCTTATGTGATTTAGGAGCAAGCATCAATCTTATGTCATTATCAATATTTAAAAGATTGAGATTAGGAGAAATAACCCCTACCACTGTAACTCTGTAGGTAGCAAATCATTCAATAACATATCCTAAGGGAGTTATAGAAGATATCCCAATGAAAGTGGATCAATTTATCTTTCCTGTTGATTTCATTGTGATAGATATGAAGGAAGATAAGGAGATACCTATCATTTTGGGGAGACCTTTCCTAGCCACTTGAAGAGCAATACTAGGTGTGTAGAAAGGAGAATTAACTATGTGCGTTAATGATCAAATCGTTACATTTAATATTTCCAAATCAATGAACTACCTTGCAAAAGGTAAATATGATAAATATTATAGAATGGATGTTATAAGATATTTAAGTGAATGTCATTTCAAAGTAACTTATGAAGAGAAATCTGAATTGAAAGAGTTAGAACACGAACAAGAAGAGGAATTAGATCAATATGAAGATTAATATAAGGAAAATTTAAATTATGTTTGAAAAAGTTTTGATGTTTTGGACACGACAGTAAGAGATAGATCTTTTTGTCCATAAATTGAAAAACCTCCTGAGCTTGAGTTGAAGTTTCTTCCTGAACATTTGAAGTATGTCTTTTTAGGTGATTCCTCAACATTACCTGTTATAATTTCCTCAAAATTAACTATAGAAGAAGAAGAGAGTTTAATGAAAACTTTAAAGAGTTATAAGAAAGCCTTTGGATGAAAAATTGTTGATATAAAAGGTATCAGTCCTTCAATTTGTATGAAAGAGAACTGCAAACCCAGGGCTGATCCTCAAAGGAGATTGAATCATATTATGAAATAAGTTGTTAAGAAAGAAATTCTAAAGTGGTTAAATGTTGGAATTATCTACCCCGGTTTAGATAGTGCATGAGTTAGTCCAATTCACTGCGTTCCTAAGAAAGGAGTGACTGTGCCTTTGAATAAACATAATGAGTTAATACTAACAAGGCAAGTCATAGGATGTTGAATATGCATTAATTATAGATAATTAAATCTCGTCACTAGGAAAAATCATTTTTCCCCTTTCTAGATCAAATGCTGGATAGACTATCTGGGCATAAACACTTTTTCTTTTCTGGATGGATATGTTGCTTATCACCAAATACAAATAACTCTTGAGAATCAAGAGAAAATAACTTTTACCAATTCTTATGATACATTTGCTTTTATAAGAATGCCCTTTGGTTTATGTAATGCACCTGCTACATTTCAAAGATTCATAATGGTTATTTTTTGTGATTTAATTGAAAAAGGGATTTAAGTTTTTATGGATGATTTTTTCAGTGTTTGGAATTTCATTTGAAACATGTTTAGAACATCTATCAGAAGTTCTTAAGCATTGTGAAGAAACAAATTTAGTCCTTAATTGAGAAAAAGTCCAATTTATGGTAGAAGGAGGAATAATTTTGGGACATCAAATTTCAGAAAATGGTATGGAAGTAGACCCTGCAAAAATTTAAGTAACTTTAAGTAACCACTAATTTACCTCACCCAACAAGTGTGAAGGAAATTACGAGTTTTTTTAGGACATATTAGATTCTACTGACGATATATTAAAGACTTTTCAAAAATTGCTAAGGCTCTATGTCATTTATTTGAAAAAGATATGATTTTAATTTTGATAAGAGTGCCTAAAAGCTTTTGAATTATTAAAATAAAAATTAGTCACTACACCAATTATTATTTCACTAGATTGGGAAAAACCTTTTGAATTGATGTGTAGATTATGCTATTGGAGTTTTTTTAGGACAAAAGTATGATAAGATTTTCAAAGTAATCTACTATGCTAGTAGAACTCTTAATGAAGCTTAAATCAATTATACCACAACTGAGAATAAGTTATTAACAGTAGTATGTGCTTTTTATAAATTCAGATCACACTTAATTGGAACTAATTGTTTTGTGCATACTGATCATTCTGCTATTAAATATTTAATGAAAAAGAATGATGCAAAACCAAGATTGATAATATGGGTTCTTCTTTTACAAAAATTTGACTTCGAAATAGTAGATAGAAAGGGAGCTGATAATCAAATTGATGATTATTTGTCCAGACTTGAATTAAAAAAACTACTCAGTTTTGAAAAAGAGATTAATGAACATTTTTCAGGTGAAAAATTCTTCAATGTTAATGAGTGGCATGTTCCATGGTATGTGAACATTGTGAATTTCATTGTTAGTGATATTATACCCTATGGAATAACTAACAAACACATAAGAGGAAATT